TTATACCGAAAGTTAAAGAACTCACTAAGTTCAGAATAAACTTAAATAAAACTTGCTGAATATTATAAAATACGCCAATATATTAATACAATTTGTAATTTCGTATGTATACCTGAGTTTTTAACGTTTCCTCTTTAAAATATTTGAGCATGTATTCTTTGGATCATTAAAGGTAACATACAGTGCGTCTTGAAAATGTTTTGCTAAGTCAAATATTCTGTACGAAAATACGAAATCACAAACAACAGCTCGCGAACGCCATATTTTTTTAGAGCGTGGTGTCCACGCGTCACGCGTGAGCGTGGGATACTATAATATCCCACGGTGGATCTGCCGTGGGATATTATAATATCCCACGCTGGATTGCGAAATCATGAATTTGAGTGAAATATCGTAAAAAATCACATTATCACGTGGTACAAATGCTGTTTTTTCATTGGACAATTTGAATTTGAGGTATAATATAAATACAAATACAAGGTCAAACGTACTGCGAGTGATTTGCCAACAATACCATACTGCGAGCGATTTGTCAATACAATTTTCTCTTGAGTTTCAAAGGCCATATAAATACCTAGAATACGGTTGTTTAGTAATACATTTGACATCCGTAAGTGCAATTTCTTACGCTGAATTGAACGGTAATATTTTTATTCTTATTGCGCCATTAATATAGGCATTACAAATACAATATCATATTTCACACTGAGTACACTGCAGTTTTCACGGACGGTTGTTCGATAAATTTCATATTGATATGACGCCAATATGCTTCTCATAAAGTAGTTATTTATTAAAACTACGTCGTGCAGTTTAAGTTATAACCTTTTACCTTAAAATTGTCTTTGGCTCGTTTTATATATTCAGATTCAGTATATTATGATCGTGCACGGGAATTCAACATTCCAAATTTCGGATTTTCAGAGTCGTGCACAGGGAAAAACGCATTAAATAAACTAGCAAGCATGTCCAGAGTTAGACACAATGCAAAATCCATAGAAAACAGGTACAATTCGTTCAAAATTTTCACGAAATTGTTTGAAACATTTTGCCCACTCCACGAAATTCACCGCCACTTTGAAAAGGATCAAGCAGCTGATTAATATTCTATTTTGTGGCTATCGACGATCCACTATCCGAGATCCGTGACAAATGCATGCCGAAATCTATACTCGTCTGGGGCATAGATGCCCCAGCGAGTAAAAACGACCATTGACTCTCGCGCCCTTAGCCACTTGTTGCTACTAGTAGGCTATCATCAGTAGCCTACTAGTAGCGTAGCCAATCAGAACGCACGATACATGATAGCCTACTATAGTAGATTTATACTAAAGGCGGTTTTCCAGTCCTCGCACGAGGCTCCTTGCAGCTCGCCGCGAGTGCTTGCATCTAATTAAAATTAACTGTTTTGCTTTGTGATTGGATGAAAGTGCTCATGCATCACTCTCAGCGAGCTGCGAGGAGCTTAGTGTGAGGTCTGGAAAACTGCCTTAACACTGATATGTGTGGGCGATTATGAAATAACCGCTGTTTGTGTAAGGTACTGTGTGGTCGATTTTCCAGTTTTGTTGAAATAAACATGTATGTTCAATGAAGAATAAACATATATTAAGTACTTTAATTAATAGGCTAAACAACGCATTTAACTCTATATTTTCTATAATAAATTCTCTATTTTGGGTATTTAGAGGAGCGTATTTATTTGCAATCGATTGTTTCCCCGGCAGTGAAATATAATCAATGTTTACATAAAATTGTATACTGCACCCTTGCTTTAGTTGAGTGAAAGCTTTGTATTCTGTTTTAGAATATCTTTTAAAACTTTTAGCACCATTTACTAGGTCTCCTCACCCTATAATACCACGGTCCTTTCTAAAATTTACACCTTAGTTATACCTCAATACGCATAGTCAAATTCAAATTAACGGAATTTATAAACCTATTCAAAACAATGAAAATGTGCATTAACTTTCGGTATTATGTGGTAGCAGGTTCCCACAGTTTTTCATGACACTATGGAACCACACAATGTTCTTCCGTTGAAACATTTTTACTAAAGGAATTTCGTAAAGCTTTTGTATTAAAGAGTGAATATTCGAAGCAATTCGATCATGAAATTTGTTTCTTTCACACTCTTACTCACAGCACCCATAGGACCGACCGCATTCGCCCAGGGTACAACAAACATGGCGACGATAATGAGTGAGAATGTCAGTGAAAAAAGTAAATTTCTCGCAAATGAAAAAGAACTGAAAGGAACAATATGTCATTCATATAAAGCTTTTATATGAGTGATACTGCCCTCTAATTTAAACGTTATTTTTTGTATCTCAATGAGTAAACGCTGATTAAGTAAAACACGACAGTACGATAGTTTAAAACACAAAAATGTTTAAAATTTCTTCAGGGTGTTTTCTCACAACTACCTTGACAACGTATACAACACATGATAAACACGGAAATGCCATCGGTCATAATGCATGGCCGATTCTTTGATCTGTTTAACTAACGCGCACCTACTGGGATTCAAGTCGGTAACACTTTGGTGCGCTGCAAGAACGACAAGTCGACTAGAAAAAGTCCATCGTTAAAATACGTGCATGGAAACTAGCCTGACAACGATTATATGTAAATAGAGCACATTTGCCGATTTACTACACATAAGTTGGTGACACACAAATATAAACATAATGGCTTGTAGTTTTGACTGAGTTTTCATTCTGCATACATATATGAATGTCAGGACTTGAAATCCGATCACGTCCCAAATGAATGTTATGAGAGGACAACCCAAACTCTTAGCAATATTTTAAGAAAAAATTTAGTTGTACAAGAAAACTTGTGTTATGTAGTAAAACTAGAAAATACATGCATGCAGACACCCTCGCCTTGCTGACAAAACCATTCAATCATCCGAACATAAAGTATCTAAAGTAGTTGTCATGGTAACACAAAAATTTTCTCCGAGCCAACGGCGCGGAGCGTTGCTCCGGGCGTATGCCCGGGAAAAGGGTACTAATTCCCCCCGGCTATTTACACCCTTGAAAACGAAATCATTTGCGAAGTTTAAAGTTCATCAAATGACCAACGATCTTGAGTGGATGGTCATCCTCACTGATCTCAAAAATATGGCTGATTGCTTGTAGGAGTAGGATAAGCAAGATTTTAATTTTAAAGGACATATATTTGGAAAATCGTTTCATATACGCAAGCTTGAAGCAATTTTGTTTGAAGAAATGAGAAGAATTGATTTACTATGGGAAATCGTGAAATATATGGCAAGTTTACTTTGAATAATTATGTTTACGAATTTGTTGCTTTAACTTTTTGCCTAAAAACATGAACTGTTTTCCGTTTCAACGAAGGTCTAAGTTTCATAAATTACCGTTCAATTTGAGAAAAAAATTTAAATGTTTAAGCTGAATTTTTGAAGACTGAACTGAAATTACTTAACAATTTGTTTTATTTGTATTAAACTTATTATGTTTTATTAAGTAAAAACAGTTTAACGGCAAAATGTAGTTTAGTTGAAATGTTGAATGAACGCTTCAAAACATTTTACGAAGCGTTCCAAGTTAAATTTGACATTAAATCAAAGCTCACAAAATGCTAAATAATATACCTACAGTACATATTTCGGAAATTTATTGTTGTATAGTTAAAAGTACGAATCTTTCAACTATTTTGCAGTTTTGTACAAAAAATATGAAAAAATTAAAAATTTAAGATATCGTCACAGGGAAGAGATATACAGAGAGGAAACTGACACTCGCTAACCTCAATTTTTGTGTCACGCGCTCTACGCGCAACGCAAAATCTTCCAGTCAGTGCTGTCGCTGAAATTTCGTAGCAAAAGTTACGGAAAACGTCGTTCGAAAGGTAAGAATTGCTTTTTTTAAAAAAATGAGATGCCCATGGAAATTTTGTTGAATAAATTTTTGTAGAACAACGGTAAGCGATCACTTTTATTGATTTCCTTTTATTAAATGTGTTAACATAACATTTTATTTCGCAAAAGTTTTTTTTCCCTAGCTACTCCTTTTTGAAATTGGGAAAAGCACTGGCTGGGAATTTCAGATGCTTATGTATTAAAAACAAAGCAGCAAATGATATAAATTTCTCAAAATATAACTCTAGCATAAAAAAAAACATGAATACTTCTATAATATGTATTAAAGGAGTACCGAATGGTTTTCCGCGCAGGATTGCGTGATCCATGCACGCGGGATGTTGCGAGACTTTCGGAAAGCGTAAAAACACGAGCCGTAGGCGAGTGTATTTTTACGCTTTCCGAAAGTCGAGCAACATCCCAAGTGCATGGATTATGCTACCCTGCACGGGAAAGCCATTTGGTAATTGTTTTATAAAATTACTACAGTGAAACGACGCTCAACTTGATTAAAATTACTGATGAAATGTGCAGTTCTCACAACATTCGTGAATTAACCAATCAGAGAATTGCTACTCCACGCTATTGAAAACAACAACATATGTGAACAGAATTTGATCGCAAATTCGCGAAAATATACAGCGAAAATACAAGGACTTTTTCGATAAAATATACGAAATTTGAAATGGAAAACCGCTAAACAGAGAGCCAAAGTTGTTTTCAAGATTCTCGACCTGAATATGTGAAGATTGCGAAGCGTTTGATCAACTTTGAAGCGAGAGATGTTGTACTTGCATGCCATGGTCTGATAAATTTCAACGCTTACGCGTTGCTACTTGCTGAATAGCAATGTGTCGATCAGAAATTTATTCATACAACTAAACCAACGTCTCAATAATTGGAAACTTACTTCAAAGTCGAAAGGTATCGTACAATGAAACTTTACAATGCGAGTATATTCGTAAAATTATGTGCAAGAATTTCTGTTCAGAATTTCCCGTGCAGGATTGTCTGATCCTGCACGGCTGTTGACCAACCAGGCTCACGTATCGATATGGTGCTGGTTGGGCTAGTCAGGCTCTCCGTGTTTGTCTTAGTTTTGCTTCTTGTCATGGTAGTTTTGAAGTCAAAGCAAGAAGGAAGTATAAGTAATGTTTCGTCTATATTTCTTGCCATTGGGAGAGATAAAGTTTTGTATCCCAGTCGAAATTCAGGCCTAAGTAGGCGATATCGCACTAGTTCGTGTGTTCCAACAAGCTTGAAAGCAAGTTCTGCATTATACCTAGCAAAGACGACTATGTGTGCTGGATATTTGATCTTGTTAGCCGGCGATGTGAATATAAACCCTGGGCCCGTAGGAAATCGTGCTCTGGAATGTCCAGCTTGCTGTAAAATTATTAGATGTAATCAAGCTCGATCGTCATGTATGCTATGTGAACACAGCTACCATCTGAAGTGTCTCGGAGCCGATTACGATCTTACGGGATATTGTCGACAATGTAGTGTACCTTCAGATGATTTAAGATTTGATATTGAAGAGTTAAATATCTCTCCAAAGCTGGCTAAAGTAATCGAGCTTCGTGGTCTTAAAATCTTGCACCAGAATATTCAAAGTCTCCGTTGCAAAATTGACGAACTGAGACTTCTGTTACATAAGCTTAACTCTGGTGTTCAGTTGTTGGCTATAACAGAGACGTGGGCTAATCGTAATATAACGGATGAGGAATTTGAAATACCGGGGTATAACTTGTATCGAAAGGATAGAGGAAGTAAAGGCGGAGGAGTAGCAGTATTTGTCAGAAATGATTTGGTAATTACGAGGGGAGAGGATCTGGAGAAATCGGATGTTGAAGGACTGGAGATAACTTTACCAAAATCGCGTAGTTTTCTCCTGGGAACATTTTATCGGGCGCCGAATTCTTCGACTTACTATGATAAAAACTTTATGTTTAAACTAGAAAATATCCTGGACATTGCTGTCTCACAAAACCAGGAAGTAATTTTATTAGGTGACTGGAATACCAATTTCTTGCAACCCAAAGCTACCATTGCTGAATGTAAACAATTGAAAGCGCTATTTCGGACATTGTATTTTAAACAACTGATCAATGAACCGACTAGAATTACTAAGGACTCACGCACACTTATAGATTTGATAGCTACAAATAACCCACAGAATATAAGCGATTCCGGAGTAATACGTACCAGCCTGAGTGATCATGAGATGGTTTATTGTGTTCGCAAATTGAATTGGAAAAAAGCACCATCCCAAACTAAAACGTTTAGAAACTATGCTAATTACAATCATGCAAATTTTTGTGAAGACCTCAAAAATGTTAATTTACGTCCCGAAGGCGAAGAAAGTTCAGCTGATGTTAATCAGCTCTGGGACGCTTTTGAAAATGGCTTTATTTCCATTGCCAATAAACACGCACCTGTTATACAAAAGCGCATACGTGGAGTTGATAATAGTCCTTTTCTGAACAATGACATAAGACGTGCTATGCATGAACGCGCTTATTTTCTTAAAAAAGCGAGAAAATCTGGGCTTGTTGAAGATTGATCGACTTACCGTTGTCTTAGAAACCGCGTGACAAACTCGATCAGAAGGGCAAAGGAATCATATAATAGGCGTATTATTGAGGAAAATAGCAATGATAGCAAGGCGTTTTGGAAAACGATAAAAAAGGTTTTACCAGGCGAAAGTAAGAAATTATCTCCTACTATGTTTGATGAAAATGACAATGTTTGTCACGATAAGCATCGTATCGCGAACATGTTTAACAGATTTTTTGTGACTGTCGTTGATCGTCTTCGTGAGTCATTTGTGACTCCCATGGTGGCTACTTGGAATTATGTCGCTGTTGGGCATCTACAACAATCTCACCGCCAACCTTTTCAGTTTAACGATGTCACAGAAAGTTTCGTCTTAACTCAACTTAGTTGTTTAAAGATACGGAAAGCTCCTGGTTTGGATAATATCCCCCCTCGTCTTCTTAAAGACAGTGCTACTATTATTGCCGAGCCTCTCGCGAATATTATCAATGCTTCCTTACGTCAAATGCAAGGTACCCGATGCTTGGAAAGCCGCCCGCGTGATCCCGTTGTTTAAGAAGGGAAAAGTTGAAAATGTAAGTAACTATCGGCCAATTTCCATCTTATCAGCCGCGTCAAAACTGCTGGAAAAAGCTGTTCACATGCAGCTTTGTGGTTACCTGTTGGAGCATAAGATCTTGAGTCCGTACCAGTGTGGCTTTCGCAAGCTCCATTCTACCCAATCTGCTGCTCTCTCGTTCGCTGATACCATCAGGCGTAACATTGATCAAGGAATCATGACTGGAGCTGTGTTTATAGATTTAAGTAAAGCCTTTGACAGCATTGACCATAGCATCTTATTGAAGAAGCTCTTCTCTATGAGTATTGTTGGCAGGGAACATGAATGGTTTGCGGACTATCTTCGTGGTAGAACGCAAATTGTTGATTATCAAGGAACATTTTCAGATCAAGAGGCAGTTATTGTTGGTGTACCCCAAGGGTCTATTCTCGGCCCTTTGCTGTTTGTATTACATGTGAATGATTTGCCGAGTGTTATTCGACATTGCCAGATTCTTATGTACGCCGACGGCACAGTAGTTTTTTATTCTGGGAAGATTGCGTCAACAATTTTGAGGAAACTTACTGAAGATCTTGATGTTATCGGTTCGTGGCTATGCAGTAACAGTTTGTTTCTAAATGTAACTAAGACTGAAGCTATGTTGTTTGGTACACAGGCTAGACTTTCTCAAGTTGATGACTTTTGTGTAACATTTAATGGAAATCCGATAAAGCGTGTATCTGAATTTAAATATTTAGGAATTCAGTTTGACGAAAAAATCTCATGGAATGCTCATGTTAAGTATATTACTTCAAGATTAGGGAAACGATTAGGCATGCTAAGGCTTATACGATGTAACATTACGTCACATTGTGCGAATGTGATTTATCTATCCTATGTAAGACCCATTCTGGAATATTGCAACATTGTTTGGGATAGTTGTGGTGTTTGTAACAGCACCTGTTTAGAAAAACTTCAAAGACGCGCAGCTAGGATTACAATGAACATTAGTGATAGTGACGAAGCTATGGACAAACTGAAATGGCCGACTTTACAGAACAGGCGGGAAAACCATGTTTTTAAATTTGTTAAAAAGTAAAAAGGATTATTTCCCTTTTAATAATGTGATACATGACCGTACGACAAGGCAAAGCAATATGCTTCATTTGCCAAGGGTTCGAACAGAAACCGCAAAACGCTCCTTTTATTATAACGGTTGTAAGATTTTTAATAGACTTAATTCTTAGTATTTTTATAATGTAGCTTACTAGTTTATAGCAGTAGCAGTATTTGTAGTATATTTTGTATATTCATGTAATTTTAATAGTACTATAGCTGATCAAATTTACAGGGCCCCCATTGATATCAGAAGCTTGTCTTCTGAAAGGGTAACCCTGT